AGAGGGAAAAGCTAGAAGAAACATTGTGAAAATATTGCATTAGAAGTTTTGGTGCCCACTAATCATGAAAAATATTCTATAGTGCCTGAGGTTCATAACAAATGTTAAGTAGGAATTTTGAAATCAGCTATTTCTACCTGTATCTGTATTTATGTGATTCAAATTCAACCTCTTTTCTTCGAATTCCAAACTTCTTCACAAACACTTTCTCTATCTTCTATAAAACTGGTGTCTATCTAGGGCTCTTGCATATGGTCGTGAAGACTGCTTACTGCAGAATAACCAAATCCATACACTCTGGTGCTGGGCTGCATCCACCAGGATGCACACTCAGGTGTTGTGTGAGCCAGCAGCTTCCTGCATCTATCTCAAAGATAGGATAATTGCTTCCTCTGTAACATGCCTTCTTGAATGGACAGTGACCAATGTCCGGGCTTCCTGCCTCATGGTTACTTATGTAAAAAACATTTCAGAAATCTGAAGCTCTCAAATTTGCATCCAAATAGGTGACTATGTATTCTGGTTTGCCTGGGCAGTCCTCATTTGCCCCTGTTGCTATTCACAGTGCTCTCTCTCACTGTATGTGGTAGGTTGAATAATGCATGCTCCCTGCCCTCGGTAGTAACCAGAAAGACCAAGCCATGATTAGAAGCTTGGAACTTTCAGCCCTACCCTCCATTCTCTGGGAAGGGAAGAGAGGCTAGAGATTGAGTTAATGATCATTCATGCCTACATGACAACACCTACATAACAATCCCCAAAATAATGGACTCGGGAAGCTTCCAGGTTTGTGAACACATCTACATGCTGGGAGGCAGTATATCCCAACTTCACAGGAACAGAAGTCCCTATGTGCGGGACCCTTCCAGACCTTGCCTTATCTCTCTTCATCTTGCTGTTCATTTGCATTCTTTAAAATATCCTTTGTAATAAATCAGCAACAGCAAGTAAACTGTTTTCCTGGGTTCTGTGAGCCATCTAGCAAATTATCAAAACCAAGGAGGGGATGATAAGAACCCCTGATTTGTACCTGGGTGAGACAGAGGTAGTGGGTAACTTGGGAACCCATTATTTGCAGTTGGAATCTGAACTGAGGGGCAGTCTTGTGGGACTGAGCCCTTAACCTGTCAGGTCTGTGTTAACTCCAGTTAGTATCAGAACTGAACTGAATTGCAGGATACTCAGCTGGTGTTGGAGAGTTGGTCAGCATAGGAAAAAACCCACACATCTGATGTCAGAACTGTTGTGTGTAAGTAAAGGAAAACAGTTTATTTTCCCCTAAACACAAACTTTTACAGCTATTTCTTGATTTATCAGTTTTAGCAAGTACTCTCAACTTTTAATTCAAAAGTTGGATATGCTGATCAATCTCTATTTGCTTCTCTACATCCAAACTCTATCTCTACTCTGTTTTGTGACCTCTATGGACTGGATCACTAAAGCCCCTTGAGCTTTGGTTTGTAACTGCGTTTTGCCAATGCCAGGCACTGGCAAGAGATCTAAGGTCAAGAGTAGAGAAAGGTCAGGTGTCTATCTCTCCTTCCCAGTGATCTTTCCTTGTCAGATTACAATGTAATAGTAGCTATGTTTCCCTACCTATGGCTACCGCTCCTGTTGGGGGACCCTTTCCCAAAGTTAGAGGTCTCGCCAGTTCCAGAAACATTTCTCTCTCCCACACCTTCTTTTGTAAGACTGGGAATAACTTCCTACTATTGTTAGTCTCTGGGTACATCGCCAGTTTTGTTGGGTTCTTTAATCTTTCCCTCAACACTATAATCTTTTCATCGAATTCTCTTCAACTACCTTTTAAATAAGGTATCTGTTTTCTGCAGAAACCATGACTAACGGATATTTAGCTACCATATTTCTTATACATTACTCTTCTCCTCTCCTTCTTTTAGCATAGTGATTTACTAGTTAGGATATAACAAGAAAAAATAGGACTTAAAATATTTTAAATAAATATTTAAACAGAGGGAGTTTAATTCATAGAACTGACTACTCGGTTAACAGATTTGTTGGGAACCCAAAATTGGGGGGAGTTAGGTCAACACAGAGATTAGTATAAGCAGGAAGCAATTACCACCCCTGGACTAGAGGAACAAAGCTAGTGTGGTATAACTGAAGTCCAGGGCCCAAGATCACTTGGTAAGTGGTGAAACCACAGCAGGCCTATCTGGATGGGCTACTGGAGGAGAGATGCAGATATTGCCAGAGAAGCCAGCTGAAGCATACAGGGAACAGAAGAAAAGTGGATTCTCCCTACTTCCTGCCCTCTAGTTTTGCTTAAGTGCCTCTCAGTAGCTGAACCTGCATGGAACTTAGAGGACAAGAAAACTTGGAGATATAATTTACAGGAGCCATACCTCTGAGATACAGGAAAACTATCCCAGAGAAATTCTGGGGAATTTTAATTCTTTTATGTAGGCCACGCTTCAATCCAGGTTTTAGCAAACTGTTAGATCCACTTCCAGATGATTCACTTTGGCCATTCAATGCCAAATCTCGGGTAAATCTTTCCATCTTGATAAATCTTACCTGATTTAACCTTATATTCTATTCTCAGTCATGCAAACTTAAAAATCATTCTCATATTATTTTCTAATTTCTTGCTTATACAACTTAGCAAGAACTTGCAATTACATTGAATATAAGAGCTATGCCATCCTTAGATCTTAAAATTCTCCCCCAGGCCATGCTAGAAACTGACTCTTCAAGGGCAATGTGGAGGCAATGTGAATGGTGAGATCTGTTCTTGAGGAGTTGCTTTTCTTTTGCAAGGCAACTGCCTCTGTGAAGTCATTAAAGATTCTTCTTTCCCCTTTAAATAAACTTTATTTTTAATAGTCAGAAACTGGGAAAAAACCTAAATTTTCATCAAGTGATGGATAAACAATAGTATTACATCCATACACAATGAAATATTACTTACTCAGCAACAAAAAGGAATAACCTATTGATGTGCTTAATAGTAATTAATCTCAAAACAATTATGCTTGCTGAAAGGTAAAAAAAAAGTAAGCCCATACTGTTATTACATTTAGATAAAATTCTAGAAAATATAAAGTAAAGTACAGTAAGTCCTCATTTAACATTGTTGATAGGTTTTTGGAAACTGCAGCTTTAAGTGTAATGACATAAGAAAACAAGTTTTATCATAGACTACTTGATATAAACAAGAGTAAGTTACTAAGGCATATTTCTGGTCACAAAAACATTACCAAACTTCTAAATAAAGACCCCAAACACTTCTAATATTAAACACTGAAATAAACGTGAGCTCTACATACATTTAAGAAAGGTTAATAAAAACAAATAAGATCATTATTTTCACAATTGCAGGTGGCCAGAATCTATCCAAGCAGCTTAGGGCGCAATGTGGGAAACAACGTTGGAAAGAATGCCCTTCCACTGCAAGGAGCATCATCCACACCCACCTGGACATGGACAATGTAGACATGCCAAATTCACCTCATGTGCACATCTTTGGAATGTGGTTGGAAACCGGAGTGCCCGGAGAAAACTCACACAGACATGGGGAAAACGTGCAAACTCCACACAGGCAGTGAGTCTGACTGAGAATTGATTATTTTTTTCTCATCAACTGTATATTAAAACTTTATTGAACAAAACGATGTTACTCGAGGACCCACTGTATTGTGAAATTAAACAAATAAATGGTTGCATGGGGATGAGGGGTCAGGGAAAGACAAAAAGATTATTAAGGAGTATGAAAAACTTTAAGGGGTAATAATATGTTCTTTACCTTAATTGTGATGGTATTACAGGTGTATACATATGTCAAAATTTACTAAATTGTACAATTTATGCATAGTTCACTATATTCCAGCTATATACCAATAAAACTTAAAAGATGAAACGGTTACACATAAAAATCTGCATTTCCTATTTTTCTTGGAAAATCAACCATATATTGACTCAACCATCTCCCACTTCCCATATCTAGGGTCAGTGGCAGCAAAAACTGGAGAACAATTAAAACCACGTTTACTCAAATACTGGTGGGGTCACAAGACCCACCAGAGACTGCAGGATCTCTTTTCTCTGCTCTGGGGTTCCTGCTTGTACAGTGTTGGCCATAAAGTTAACAGCCCAGGGAGGTACAGGAATCCAGAAAACCTTTAGATTATTTACTCTGACACTGACTTCAGCAACAGGAGATACAGTGGTTTGTCGTTCCTGAGAATTTCTATATAACTTTAACCCACAGAGCCATAGTCACATGAGATTTATGTATGCCCTTCAGAGTAGACACATAACCTCTAGTTTGCCACAATCTCTACCACTCCTTACTATTAATATTTTTAGGATTTCTAACAATATGTACCAGAGTTAGTGTTACTAAGTGTTAAGGTTTAAATTTTTAGAAAGTAGAGAAATAGAATTTGTATCTTTACCCTTAATAAATTTGAACATCAGGAAATATGACAACATTTTATGCATTAGAACAAAAACTATATCAATTACGTTTCCCACTTAGCCCCTATAGGTCTTATCTGCCTACCAGATTTAGATTTCACAGGGGTCATGACTTCTGCATAGTTCCTGGGAGACAGTTACACTTCAACAGTGTTAGGGAATCTGATACATCCCCTGAGAAAAAGTGACTTAGGTCATGCTGTTACCACAAATATTGGAGGTTGTCAAACCAATTACCCCTTCATCAGGATGAGCTAAGGCTCCAAAGGAGATCCTGACATTTAGGTCATAAGATCAGTCCCACAAGGTCGGACAGTTTTCCTAAGAGTGCGTAGCATTACCAATTAGGCCAAATTAGATGAAGAGCTGTTCTCAGCTATCCTGCTATTTTCTCTGAGACACATAAAATTTGGGACCTCCACAAAAATTATTCCTACTTTCATGCTGGCAAAGCCTATTTATTTTATTTTTACTTTTAATAACATTTTATTTAACCCAATATACCCAAAATGTTATTTTAACATATAGTCAACATAAAGATTATAAGGAGATGTTTTACCTTTTCCTTTTTCTTAATACTATGTCTTGGAACTCCAGTGTGTATTTTACACTTATGGCATATCTCAGCTCAGACAAGCGAGATTTCAAGTGCTCAACAGTCATACATGGCTGGTGCCTACCATATTGGACAGCACAATTCTATATATTTAGCGCAACCCACAGTCTTAGTTTGTAGGTGTGGAGGAAAGAAATGAGCTCAGTAAGTGATAACCTGTTTTCCAAAAGCCCATTTCTTTTCTCAGTCAACCCCACACAGTGAACAGAATAAACTAAAGGCTTTAACAGTCTTTTTCATTGTACAAATCAGATCAGTGTGGCAGGCAGTTCCAAAGCTCGAGAAATCCATCTCAGCTATCTCATGGAGAGTCAATACTGTCTATGGAAAACAGAAGCCTCTGGAAGACTGCAGCAGATTCCAGCTCAGATCTTTTTGGCAGGAGCTGGATCATGTCCACACTGAAACCAAAAGTGGAGAGAGAATGAGGATACCCGATGGGTTCAGATCACTCATGATTCCCTCCAGGAAAGGGGAAAGAAAGTGGAGGTCTGTCTTACCTGAGTACACTGGAGTAACCGACACACAGCATAAGGCTCTGGCTGCTGGTAGAAGTAGTATGGTTTCTGCAACAAACACTGGCAATAACATAACTCAAGCAAACGAAAGGTCCTGGGAAGGTTAGCAAATGTCAAGTAGCTCCTGAAAGCTTCCAATATACCTGGCACTTGTAGTTATCTTCCCAGTATGGATAACTGGATGTACAAAGTTCAACTTCTGGTCGTTGGGGTTCACCTCAAAGGTTACTTTCAGAATTTGTCTCTTGTGAGTCATACTATGTTGAAAAAGGAGAAAGCATGTTCCTTGCTTTCTTAGGGCCTCTCTTGAGTGTGAATGTTCTGATGCTAAACAAAGTTAAAGATGCAGCTAAAAGATCACCCAAACTGCTACACTCATGAGGCATTTCTTTGTTGTGAACTTTTCATTTGCCAAGTGAG